TATTTTCAGACTCCGTGCTACTACTGAGAATTTTTCAAAACATTAATACTTTGTCCAGGAATCGAAGCCGAAACCCCTTGCCCGGCATTCGCAATTGCAACCACTCGGCCAACGAGACAGTCAAACATTAATCTGTAACATTTATTCTTTTTATTATGCCTCTGTCTATTCCCATAAAAAAACATAGTCATAAATAACATTATGTCATGTTTCTTGACCGTCCCTTCACATGTAATTATGATATAACACTAGTTGTTACAAAGCGGGTAGGCAGAAGCGTAAAGATTAAGATAAAAAAAATAATTGCAGTACCTACTCAAAATAATTGTTGTTACAAGCCACCTGTGTACTCTAAAAAGTATTATTATAAATTAGAATGTTCGTTTGTTTTCTTGCTTTTGTGTTTAATAGACTATATCTCCTAAACAGCTGTATAGATTTTGATGAATCTTGGTATACAGATAGGTGGGGTTCTGGAAGTGGATTCTATGCTAATATTTGTAATATTTTTAAATTAGATTTTTTTCTATAAAGTTTCGTTGGCATTTATAACTTTACTATAAATGTAGTCTCAGTATTTCAACAGGTTTATTTAAGGTTTGACAATGCATTTTAGTGATCCATGGTCCATTGTAAAAAATGGGTAATAGATATGCATGACATTTTTAGATGCTATAATAGAAAATATACAATACAATACAGTAAACGGAACACGACATTTCATCAATTATACTGAAATGCTCAAAAACCAATGCAAAGTAATTTGAAGCATACTTCAAAAATCGAATTTCTAAGAAAAGGTGGTTAGTTACAGTGACCACCAAGACTGAAAGAGTTAAGACGCCCGCTTCTCATGCGGGTGTGCAGGTTTGATACCTACCAACGACAGATACCAAGGCGACTTTTCCGAGTTATTTGTACTTTCTAAGATTATCTAGACACCACTGACAAACGATGAAGGAAAACATCGGGAGGAAACCTGGGCTTATGATTCTAATTATAAGTTCCAAATCGCTAACCCGCATTGAGCAACCGTGACGATTAATTCTCAAACCTTCTCCTTGCGAGAAGAGGCCTTTGGTCAGCAGTGGTCACTTATGATGATGAATAGAAAATAACATTTTTTACTGAAAAAACATCACTTTCAGGCTATCTCTTCCATGGATTTAGTCATTCAAAAGGAATCTAGCACAAAACACAGTTGCAACCTAGATAGGAATTAAATAAATTGTTTATTTGGAATGCAATTATCTTAATAACTACAGGTTCGATTTGAAAAATTCTTTTTGCGTCGGATAGCCAATTTATCGAGGAAGGCTAATCTATATATATAAATATAAAAGAAAGTCGTGTTAGTTACACCACTTATAACTCAAGAAAGGCAGAATAGATTTGGCTGAAAATTGGTAGGGAGGTAGCTTAGAGCCAGGAAACCGACATAGGATACTTTTTAACCAATACTTATTTTTTACTTTTTACCGAAAATCACGAACGGGGACGGGAAAAAATGGGATTACGCGTACGAAGTCGCGGGCAGAAGCTAGTAGGCTATAAAACATCTCGCTGCGATCAATAGGGGCCGAGCAGAGCGGGTGGAACTGCGCGGAAGTAGCTAATAAATTACATAAAACTACAATCTCATAAGTATTACTCATTATATGTTTGAAATTATATCAAATTTAACATTAATTAGTTTAATAATTACCCGCCTTATGTTTTTCAGTGCGTAAACATACATAAGTAATAATAAAAGTACATATATATATAGAGATTTATGGCTAGTATCTCGATTGTCGTGTGTGCTTGTGCGACTACCGGGATATCGAATTCGATTCCCGGGTCGGGCACAGTATAACAGGGTTTTGTTAGAAATTCTTAGTAGTAGCACAGAGTCTAGAAATGTGCCGGTATATGGCAATAGGCTCACCCTCTATTACATGGGACTCATAATATAAATAGTGAAAAGTGGGTCGTCGTTGACGTCCCATAGTCTCTGCCTACCCCCATGGAAGACAGGCGTGAAGAAGTATGTATGTATTTGATGGGCAAATTCACTTTATCTCAGTACTTTTATAGAACTTAGGTATTACCTAAAATATCAAAACGTCCATTGACTAAGATGTCTTTAGAATTTCCGGGTTAACTTAATTACCTATTGTAGAGGTATATTTTCGAAAATTTTAAACTCAACATAAAAGTGAATAATCTCAAAATACGTCCCTAATTATAGAAAAAATGAACCTACGACCTCTCATTCATGTTAGAAACAACTAGATAACATACATACATAATAATTATATACATTAATTTAAATTAAAGCAATTGTTTATGAGACATGGTTTTTTTTTTCTACCTCTAGAAACAGATAGATAATTTACAAGTTCTACACATCTTTAATTTGACTACCTCGTTAGTCAAGTGGTTGCAAGTGCGACTGCCGAGCAAGGGATCTCGGGTGCGATTCCCGGGTCGGGCAAATTATTACTGGGTTTTCAAAGAAATAACAGTAGTAGCACGGAATCTGGAATTGTGCCCGGTATATGGTAATAGGCTCACCACCTATATTACGAGTCCCATGTAATAGAGGGTGAGAATATTGCCATTAGCCATATACCATATGCCAGGCACGATTCTAGACTCCGTACTACTACGGAGTTTTCTTAAAAATAAAAAAAATTAAAACTAAACTAATTATTTGGGGGGTAAGGGGGAGAACGGACTTAACATCTTTCCGGCCCCAATAGTCACCCTCACCTGCTCGCATTAGTGTTTCGTATGAATAGCTGTGGCGGCAACTTTCGGGCTGACGGACGAGGCTCCGGCGACCGAGCAATGGCGGTATATATAACCACACCCGCCGCTCAACGTGACCACGACCGCTCTGCCAAGAGCGAAACGCCAGAGAAGCAACTAATTATGAATTTACTAAACTTTTTTAAGTAGAAAAATTAAGTAACAGGTATTACTTGACTCAAGATTTGAATCTGAAATATTGCACTATAATTGCATTAGCCTTCGACCTTGTTGATATCTTGTTGCAATATAAATATTTAAATTTTATACATTTCAATATAAAAACAAAAGGTGTTTGACCACTATATGACATTGCGTAATTTTTAATACCAATGTCAAATAACTATCTAATAACATAATAATTATATTATATTGTAATTATATATGTATTTATTAATACTTATACATAATTAGCGTTCCCTTGGGATAGAAAGTAGTCTGTGTACTATTTCAGATCATAATCTATCCCTGTCCCATGTACATAATCTATGTCTCCTCACGGCCCAGCCATCGCGAAGGACACACCGGGCGTCGGGGATCGCGGGACGATCTCCGGCCACCGTAAGCACGGGAATGCGGACGGCGAGCATGGTTGACTGGTAGAGAATGCCATATGGCATTAAGTTCGCCTTATGTGCCATAAACAAATTATGTACATTAAAGAATAAATAAATAAGTAAGATATATAATTATTGCATCTATGCATGTATTTTGGCATCATCTATATAATACTAGCGACCCGCCCCGGCTTCGCACGGGTGCAATATGCATGTATTCCTTAAGAATCACTCTATCTATTGAAAAAAACCGCATCAAAATCCGTTGCGTAGTTTTAAAGATCTAAGCATACATACGGACATACAGCGAAAGCGACTTTGTTTTATACTATGTATTGATGTATTTTGGGATTTTTATCCACATGGATACGCCAACTCCATCGTACCCTCTTAGTTTTAATTGCACTAGCTTAAGTAATAATATAACTAAATTTATTTATCTAGAGAGAATCATTAATTAGGTACTTAAACATAATGATACGACTTTTAATATCCAAAGGGGTAGACAGAGATGCACATACATATATGTATAATATACCACCATGTAATAGGAAGTCTATTGCGATACACAAATCGGAAAAATGTTCTAAAAACTTAAATAATGCTTTGCCCGATCCAGGAATCGAACCTAAAACCCCTTGCTAAGTCATTGCACTTGCAATCACTCAATCAAGATGGCAGTTGAGTAATAAATAAATTAATGCATTTATTACGCTATTCGTTTATAACCAGAATTTAAGTAGAAAATAGAAATGTAACCTTTTTCTGTTCCCATAGGATTTTCATGAATATCTCTGTTAGTACTTAACAAAATTTCGTAAAGAAATTTTGTTAAGGCTGTATACAATCTGTCACTCACTCATTCACTAGTAATTCCTTATAAACCTCAATTACACCAATTTAAACCCAAAAAATAATGATCTAAAGTCACTTTAATAACTAATGGGTTATCAAAGCATACGATTATAGCGTTTAAACAAACATAATATCGTTAAAATTGTGTATAAACAAGCGAAATCGCAGCACGAAATTATGCTAACATGCCCTCAATACAAAAGACATCAACGCGCGAACTTCGACAAAATTCACTCTTGCACTTGTAACACACGGAGTTTCTTAAGAGAATATTTGGATTTCTGCCAAGTCTCCTATTAGTGTAGCTTTAATATATGACCTAGATTGTAGAACAAGGATTTAAGTTTCTCTTAGTATCTGTTTTTAATGTGAAAATCGTAAAGAAATATTTGTTGACCCACTTTTTTGAAACTAAAATAAAATTAATAGCCCTTTTTTAAAATCAAGTTTACCTATTGACCTAGTGCTTGACTGACACAAACCAATTGCATAAGAAAGTGTTAATGAATTCAAAGAACACATAAAAACATAATATTACCATAAAATTAGCATTTATTACAAAATGATACGCAAACATCTAATTCAACATCGGGCCGAGCAAGAATGATATTTAAAAAAAAAGTAGGTTAAGCTATCGCAACGAATTATCTAATACCACGTAAATTGGGCAACATAAACTTGGATTGGCCATACACTACATGAGAAAAACTATATAAAACCACCTACGTAATAAACTTTCACAAAACGACATAGGCAAAAAAAAAACAAATAAAGAAAAACAATTAAGCAACTCACTTGACAGCAAAGAGGTCCCGACACACTTCACTTTTTTTTTATTTAACACAACACTATAAAACTTCTTGGTCGAAATTAGGACACTGTTGTCGGTTCGAAAGCGACTTTATCCATGGCAAAGTGTAGACTATCGCAACTACCAAAATATGAGGCCGAAATGATTGTTATATAACTGTTACTTGTATTACATAAAAATTGCCGACGGCACAGCTGCTTTATTATGCAAAGAGTAAGTTTTTTAAGCTACGACATCGAAGAATCCTTACCGGGCTTACAAGTTTATAAAAAACTACTATAAAAATAATTATAAAAAATAGGTCCACACACGTAGAAAAAAAAATCTAAAAAATAAAAATCACAAACGTCAGTAAATTTCGAAATTCAAACGCACGAAGCCCGGTGCGGATTCCGCGGGAACGTTTGACAGTTTTATTTTTTATTTACTTTTTTTTTCAATTCGTTTAGGCACAGGTAATGCGTTCGAAAGTCCGTCGGGGTATGAATGAGTGTACTGTCGCTTGAAGGTGTAGTAATTCAGCAATTTGCCGTCCCCCCTCCAAATCCCCAGCCAAAAGTGGGGATAACTGACCACTGCCGGTGACTGTTGACGCTGATGCAGAAATGAGACAAAAAAGCAAGTGTTGTTAAAATAGTTGCCAAGGTTAAAAACGGGATGGTCTATAAAGGAGGTCAGTTATGTAGCTGCGGTTAAGCGTCATTTCTCGAGGTTGAGAAATGGATGGGTTACCGAGGAAAATTAAGTTTGTCAAGAATGTTAATTAGCAGAATTATTACATCAGATACTTTTTGATTGATGTTGTAACTTTTATATTATTAGGTGTTATCTAATATTACTTCATTTAACATTAATTTTGAAAATGTCAATGATAAAGGGCCGTCCTGTCACTTAGTTTTGTAATAATATTGGGGCTTTGGGTTCAAGTCCCGGGTCAAAAAAAATGTTATTTAGGTTATCGGCCTTAAATTGTGTCCATTGTCTGACAATAGTTCCAGCTGTATTGAAATAGAACGATTATGGAGATGAACAGTTATTGTGTTATTACTAAGCATTATAGTAACCCAACCCAAACAACAAAACTATGTAACTGGAGAATTGTGAACTTGATTGAAAACGAGTAACCTATGGAGTTTCTTGCTCGTTCTTCTCCATAGGAATCTACACCGTGGAATGAGCAAATACCTTCACTTGTTAATTTTCTTTATTGACGTTCAAAAGTGCCTCTATGGCCTAATTGAAATAAATGATTTTGACTTTGACTTAGTAATAACAAAAAATGGTTACAAAATACCTCGACCGACCCGAGACGCAAATCCGAAACCATTTCTAATTTATGACCGTCGAAGCAAACTTCGTTCCAATAACAAAAAATCAAATAACAAAATATGTACTATAGTTATACAAAATAGTCATGTATTAAAGCTTAACTCGTCGAGTACCGGTTTCGTAGACATAATTATAGAACAATAGGTTGCGGTCACCGGTGACCGCTTGGTGTTTGACAGTTTAATTAGAATAATTTAGCAGGTTCTGACCTACCACGTCATATCTCTGTACCACCCTAAAGTAGACTGGCAGAGAATGCCCTAGGCATTAAGTCCGCCTTGTACTATATGTGCAGAAATACTAAATAAAAAATGCACTCTACCTACGTCAAAATAAAGGCGTAGTTTAAAACCTAATTAAAAAAATTATGCCAATGAGATTCCATCAAAAATAAAACTCCAGTTATTTCAAAATAGTCCATTGTTGCTTAAGTATTTATTTTGGTTTAGATTTTAAGTCAGAGCGTTCAAATTAGACCTTTTACGTACACAATTTAAAGTCAAAATTACTTTGTGTTTCGATTGATCAACGGGTCAGTAAGTGTTATTATTTATATTTTCTGTTTTATAAACATTCTTCATCATCATAACATCAAGCCTTTTATCCCAGAAGGGATAGACAAAGGTGCACATAACGGCATTTTATGCCACTGTACAATGTAACACCCAATGTAATAGGGGGTGACCCAATTGCCATATAACGCGCACAATTCCAGACTCCGTGCCACTACTGAGATTTTTTTAAAAAAGCCTCGTAGCAGTTTGCCTGATCCGGATATCTACCCACATCGAACCCGATGCTCCTTGCCCGGCAGTCGCACTTGCAACCACTTAGCCAACGAGGCAGTCTTCTTTAAAGTTAATATTCGATATAATGTCTATAATAATCGATACTATTAAGTAAATAATAGTAATATTTCTACCAATTACGTTTATTTAAGTTAAATGAACTAAAACACTACTGAACAACACTGTCTTCAAATGTCATCAATAATTTATAATAAGCTTCCTAGACAAATGAGGGAAATTGACAGGATAGATTATTTTACATTTTTTTTATGGAATAGGAGGCAAACGAGCAGACGGATCACCTGATGGTAAGCGATTAGTGCCGCCCATGGACACCCGCAACACCAGAGGAGTCATAGATGTGTTACCAGCGCTTTAAAAAGGAATACGCTCTTTTGTCGAAGGTTTGAAGGTCGTATCGGTTCGGAAATACCGCCGGCGACAGATCATTCCACAGTTTTGCTGTGCGAGGCAGAAAGGTACGTGAGAAGCGCACAGTTGTGGCCTGCCAACCATCTATATAGTGAGGATGCATATGCTGTCGTGAATCGAATGAATTCCTGGTAAATAGACCATATTATACATTGCATGAATTTTTGTCTGACAGATTCGTAAACAGTTGAAGTGCCATTTTATGTTTTGATGCAAAATGTAATTAATAGCTTCTTTATTCAATCAAAGTCAAAGTCAAAGTCAAAATCATTTATTTCAATTAGGCCAGAATGGCACTTTTGAACGTCAACAAAAAAAAATTGAAAGTGAAGCTATTTGCTCATTCCAAGGCGTAGATTCCTATGGAGAAGAACGAGCAAGAAACTCCATAGGTTACTCTTTTTCAATCAGGTTCACAATACAATTTACTAGTTACATAGTTTTGCTGTTTGGATTGTGCGAGAACAATGTAACACTAAAATCCAGTCAAAGTGATCAAAAAAGAAAATAACCTTAAGGACAATAATACAGTCTGGAGCTGACCAGTCCCAGTTGACGGCGCCCGTTCACGAACATGACACGTACACCAGCACCGCCCAACTCAACCATATTGTAGGGAATCGAGCGATCCACTGCACGCGCCACCGCCAATGAGACCTTTGAGTGAGCATGACAACTCCAAGCTGACACAAATGAATTCTACTAATCTAATTTAATATTAAGTTAATTACAGGGCTCTCACATTTACA